GTGAAATTTCCATAGAGGGGATCCCTGCACTTCCTCATTCCAGGCTCTACTACATCCATAAAACCTTCTTCTTCTGTCCAGAAGTTCAGAAATTTAAACAATTTGACAAGGTTAGACATCTTATGCTTCACTTGAGATAACAATGGTGAATGATCGGATCCTATTCTCACTAGGTGACTAACTGTAGTGCTATCAAAAAGATCAACCAATTTTGATTGACTAGAGCTCTATCCAACCTTTGCCAAATTCTCCTCTTAGGGCACCATCCATTGCACCAGGTGAATGTTGAACCACTGTAGCCTGCATCTACCAGTTCACAATCCATAATGCATTGAATAAAAGAGAAGCTTTTGGACATTTTATGAGGATTTCCACCCTTCTTGGGTCAATGATACAGTTAAAATCATCTGCTATAAACCAAGGAAGATTATACTTGGCATGAATAACCCTTAGTTTGTCCCACATGCCTTCTCTCAACTCATCATCACATTTAGCATACACAGAAGATATAAGAAGGGATACACCCTTTTGATTAATGATACATGTTACCTGTTGATCATCATCTTCAACCACTGAATAGTCTAGGTTTTCCTCCCAGAATACCCATTTGACCATTGCAATTTGCAAAGGCATGACTAAATCCCAAAACTCTTTTGTACTTCTCCAATTTGTCAACCTTATAGAATGACTCAGCTAAGGCAATAAATGGGAACTTGTTTGCTCTAACCAATTATTTAAGTCTTTCAAGAGCACCATTAGACTTAATGCTCCTAATATTCCAGAATAAGGACTTAAACATCATTACTGGTTTGAGGGGGTTTGTTTCTTTGAGGCCTTCGAAGGCCTTTGAGAAGATTGTCTGCCACCCCCTTCTCTTGTTGTTCCTCTACACCCTCTTGGTTCATACTTGCCTCTAGGTGATAGGTGGCTTAAGCTGATAGCACTGGTCATGGCCTGATGCACAGTAGCTTCACCTACAAAGACTTCCACTAGATTTGGGGCGATGTCATTGCTAACCTCTGCTTCACTGTCCATACTTTCGAACTCATCACTCTCCATCGAGCCCTCATCATCTTCATAATCATTATCTTCAGAGCTGCCATCTTCTTCTTCTTCAGTGGATTGAATTATGCCATCACCACTCCAGTCATGATCATGATTCTTCTCCAGGTTAGATCCTAGAATCAGTTTATTAAAATTCTTCTATGCTTCTCCTGGATCATTGTTATGGGTAATTTCTTTATATCCTTCATTATGTTCTGGTTGTTGATGTGTGGTCTCTGTGCTTGCCTGAAGGATTTCATCCTCTTGTCTTTGTCTACTATGCTCCCCTTTATCAATTGCATTACTCTGTGTTATTGGTCTTGCAAGGTCCTTAGTATGAACTTCACTTTGTTGCTCTACTTGTTGTACTTGTACCATAACTTCTCGCCATGCCGCAATCTTTGTTTGATTTGAACTCTTCTTTCTCTTATTTTTCTTCTTGCTAGTATCACCCTGGCTTGCACTATGTTGGACTTTTGGGTATGTGGAGATTTTTTTTGTATCCCCTGTATCAATTCCCTTCCCTTTCCCTAGCACTTGCTGGTCTCTTTCCCTTTGTGGAACTAAGATTGGTTCTCTAGTTACAATGGTTCCATTCCTTTTGTTCTCTTTATCACTCCCTTTACTCTACTCATAGTTTCTTCGTTCTGTTCCCATGTGTTGGTCAATTTTAGTATTCTTATTTTTTGGGTTCTTTCTCCTAGTTACTATTTGGAACTCCTTCTCCCTATTCTAGTCTAAAGCACTAGTTGTTGTGACCTACTGCTGAGTATTTCTTTTTTCCATGTTGCTTCTTTCTTCCCTCTCCTTTTTCATTCTGTCATCCCTCACTTTGTTCCAGCATTGACTTTCCATATGACCTTGCATTTTACAGTATATGCAGTAGAAAGAAACTCCTTCATATTCAATATCAAGCCACAAATTCCAGCCTTTTAAAGCCAGCCACAACTGATCCAACTTTGGTTTTAACAGATTAATTTCCACCTTTATTTTAGCTACATTACCCCTGGACTTCGAGTAAGTAGCCTGATCAGGCGCAATAGCAACCCCTATAGATTGTATCATTCTGGACACGACTTCCCACCTAAACAAATGCCATTGTAGCTGATGGATGAGAATCCATACTGGGACAGCAGGTGTTTCAACTTCTAGCTTAAAATCAGGAGACCACAACAAAATCTTCATCGGAGTACCAATAATATCCACAAAGTTCTTGAGTTTAATATGAGTATAATCAACTTCATTAGTAAAATCAATACACACATGCTGGAAATCAAAAAAGGCTATTTTAACCTTTCCTTTCAAATGGAATTGACTGATGAAGGCCTTTCTTATATCTTCCATTGGTGGTTTTGTCTTGTACAATTTACCAATCAAGGTGAATCTACACTCTTGTTCCAGGTTAACAAAGTAGTCCTCTGCCTTAAAGAACACTGCTGGTTTTTCCAGGTGAGTGTCGTGCGTGACATCCACATTCTTTTCCCCTTCACTGATTGTTGGAAGCTCCGATTGAACCGCTGCAGCAAAAGATGGTTTAGAAGTACCTTGGTTCCATTTATTAGCACCAGATGATGTCACTTTATCCCCGTTCACTAACTCTTTTGTAGCTAGTTCTTGGGATGGGTCTGTGATCTTCTCTACCTTCCGTTGGTCATGCATGCTAACGTCCCCTTTGTTTTTGTTCCTTCGGTCATATTTATCAAAGTTTGCTGAGATCTTTGGTTGGTTAGGTAATGTGATTGTAGTGGTGGTGATGGGCTGGTTAAAATTTGGAGTGCCAAAGTCATTGGGACCATTTTCGGTCTGGAAATTAGTGGTTTCTTGAACGGAGTTATCAGCGTTGGTGGTGATTATTTGGTGGAGTTGTGGTGTTTTGTTCTTTTTAGAGGGAATAATAGGTGATGGGGTGTTTTGACTAGGTGTTTGTAGTGTATGTGTCGAATTTTTGTTGGCTTGGTTGTCGGTTGATTGTACTTGTGTGGGGTTATGCGGTGGGTCACTCAAATGTTTCCCAGCTAAGTTAACTTCAGTCATTGTCTTAGAGAGATAAAGCTAGAGAGAGGAGAGAGCATTTACTTTTTTTACAACCAGCTTCCTTTTTGGAATTAGATTGAGTTTAAAGGGTAAAATGGTCGTTTACTTTTTTATGGGTATTTTGATAATTCACTTCTCAACTTTGGATTTTACACTTATAATATAGTATGATGATGATGATGATGCCCGGAAGAGAGAATCAAAGGTAGACAACAGTCAGTTGTTTCACTTCAGTAAGAGGTAAGGCAGAAAAAGGGAAAAGGGAAAGGCACCTTGACTTTGAAAACTCAAAGGGCAAGCAAGGGAAGTGTATTATAATGAATTTAAGTTATATTTACTGACGTGTAAAGACTTTTTAATATTATTAACAAATTTTAACGTGGGATAGTAATGAAATAATTATCATTTTACTTTGAATCATTTAGGTGTGCAGTATTTTAATTAGAGCTGTCAATATGGGCCAGGCCGAGCTAGCCCCGCCCAGCCCAGCCCATGTAGGCTTTAGCAATTGATAGGATGGGCTAGGCTAGCCCACAATTTCGATGGGCCTTATAATGGTCAGCCCACCCCAGCCTTATGTGGGTAGCGGGCCCCCACGGGCCGGCCCATCATTTTAAAAAATATAATTTCATATTTTTTCTTTAAGTTCTGAATTAAAAAAGATAATTATTTAAAAGTTAAAAAATATCTTATTTAAAAAATTTCGCAAAACTTAATAACTTTTATATTGCTCAAATATATCACAATAAACACTAAAAAAAGTAAAAGACAAGACTATATTTCATTCATAAAAAGTCAAAACTCAAAACAAACTATTCAAGAGAACGTCCATGACGCTTATGAGGTATCCAACACATCATCTTCATAAAACACATTTGAATCCGCTTGTAACAAGGTTGTCCTAACATCTTCACTTTCATTTACATCTACAATTCATGTGCAATATTAATTAGTTAAATATTATGAATAATTATATTTTAAAAAATAACAATATCTAAATTCACATAAAAAAAATATTACCAGTTTGAGTTTGGGAAAAGCTGTGCAGCCAATTTCGAGTAGTGACAAGTATTTGGACATTTTTATAATAAATGCAACTTCTGTACTTTGTAAGAACACTCCACCGATGCTAAATGTTGATTCCGATGCTACTGGTAATAGGAATACTAAGTACATAATGCACCTTCACTGAAAGATCGGGATATTTTCTAGAATGGTCCTTCCAATACATGACAATATCCATCTCTTGAAACTTTTCAAGATCAAGTTTTGGTTCCTCTTAGTAAGGATCCAATTCTGACTTTCCATCTCTAGAGGCAGTATACTTTTTATTTTTTATATATTTTGAAAATATCGGGCCGGCCCAGCCCAAACCCAGTCAAGCCTTACGGGTCACGAGCTTACTCGAGCTGGGTTTAAAAGCCTCATTTTTAAACGGGCTCCAAAAATTCTAGCCCAATCCTATTAAATCACGGGCTGGACTGCGTTGACCCAACGGGCCAAGCCCATATTGACTGCTCTCACCAATAACCCTCCATTCTTCTCCTCGCCTCTTCCCCAGTCCATGGATCTATTACATCACAATGTTAAAATATCTCGGAATTCTAAATCACACTTACTCATTTCTGCAATTAATTTTGAAGATAAATCAATGATATCTAATTCAAAACATAATTTTTTTAGTACGAGTTCAGCTTGAAATAATTTTTCGAATACACTTTTTCAACTACATAAATATTAGGCAAAACAAAATCTTCCAAAATATTGCTGATTACTCTTTTCCTATAAATTTTTATCCAGATCTTATGATGCCCAGCTCATCAAATTTGTGTAGTACCTTGTTCTTTCTTTTATCTTTTAAATTAAACAATACTAATAAATAAAAGAAAAAGAGAAGAAGAGATTCACATTTTCTACAAGTTCTATTTTGCCGGTAACGTCTCGGGTCTCCATAGAAAATCGGGTGACCCGAAACTAAGATCCGAATGATCGAACAATCCATCTAACGCTACGTATTCACAAACATTATTAGCATTATTATAGTCCACCAAATCAGCGATTCCCAACTCGAACGAGTCGTAATTTGGAAATCGCTCTTCCAGTTCCCATAACTCATTACTGATCAACTCAATCTCCGACGCCGCCGGTGGAGGAAGTCCGAGCTCGTCATCGGTAGCTTCCAGAAGATACCCGAACTCCGGCTGAGACTCATCGGAGTCCTCCGTCAAATCCGCAACTTCCGTCGCCGTTGCCGCTGCCGGAGGTGCCGGCGAAGCTGAGATTTCTTCTTCGAAACTCTTCATGAACGAGTCGAAATCCTGAGTTGCGGTGCAAAACTCGGAGTCGTCGAGACCGTCTAAGAGATCTTCTCTGAGTCTCTTTACCTCCGGTGAGTTAAATTCTGACGCATCCGAGTCAACTCTGGCTCGCTTCTTTCTAATCAGCTGCTCCATATAATATTTTGAAAAGATTATGCAATGCGTGTAATACACGTGCTTCAGCTTTTCAAAGCGGGTTGAGGAGAGAGGGAAGAGAAGGGGGGAAGGTTTATATAGTGGAGACAAGGAGGAGAGAGAAAGTCAAGGAATGAGGGAGAGAGAGAGTAATGGTATGACGTTGGCGCGTGGGTGGGAATACTTGTGGGGCAATTATGGTCGTCTATAGATTTTCGTTTTTTTCTTTTATTTTTTATATTTTAAATATTGAAATGTTATGTTTAAACGTGTTCGTAGTATGGGTGTCCAACGGGACGGGACGATTTTAACGGGACGGGACGGGACGGGACGAGATTTAGGCGGGACGGTGGCGGGACGGGACGAAACGGGACGGGACAAACGGGACGAAACGGTCGTCCCGTCCCGTCCCGCCAACCAAACGGGACGGGACGGGACGGGGCGGGACGGGACGGGACGGGTCGCGGGACGGGTTCGCGGGCCTTAGTGTATTTTTAAAAAAAAAAACTTCTAGTTTTTTGAAAATTACTATGTTTTTAAAGTTTGCAACGGCTAGATTTTTGACTTATTTAATAAACTTAAATATTACTATGTTAGTATGTTAAAAAAAATATTAGAAAACTAAGTAAAGAATTACAAAATATTAAAACAAAAGACTTGTAATGAAATAATCTAGTAAATATAAATTTATAATAGAGTTATAATTTATTTAATATAATTTCAAAATATTAACTATTAAGTAACACCGACAAATCATAAAAATAATTCATCTCTTAGAGCCATTTATTTTATTAATAGAACTTTCAAATCTCAAATACAAATACAATTCTTTTGAAGAGCACCTAATCTACGCAGCCACCTTCTAGGAAGGGTTCTGTTTGAACTAGGCCTCTTAGTAGCCAATTACAAATTATCATACTAATATTTGTAAGCTCCTATATAACTTCTTTGTAACTTATCAATAATATCTCTTGGACATTCTACTGGAATTGGCAATGTTGATTGATGTTTCAAAACCAAGATTTCTTCTTTCTGAATTAATCCAATCTCTGAATAAGACGGAAATCTCTAGACTGTCCTCCGCTAATGAATGTCTATGATCTCCAATTTGAAATCTTGCCGCGCTAAATGCACTCTCCGATGCTACTGATGATGATTGAATAGCCAGGATATCTCGGGCCATAATTGGAAGTGTTGGAAAAGCCTTGCCACGCTCCCTCCACCATGACAAAAGTTGTTCCTTGCCTTCTTCGTCTTTAATATTTTCCAATCCTTGATTAAGATAAGAATCAAGTTCATCATCAATAGAGGAATCAAAACCTGTTATATCATCCATATCTTCCCATAAAACTTCTGCTCCAGACTTAGAAGTAGAAGGAGCAGTTTCGGTACTAGTTGTATCCATAGATTTATATTTATCAAACATTGATCTAGCATAAAAATATATGCTAGCTTGGCAGTTTTCGAGTGATGGTTCTTCATGTTCTTGAATTTCTAAATTCTCATAAATTTTACGAACAAGACCCTTTGCACCTCTTAGTTTTAAAGATGGGTTAAGTAG